GATGTCTTATTCTTTCATTTTTATAAAAATCTACTTTGCTGAGCTTCTGAGAAATATCTAGCAATACTGTCGGTTCACAGGAGAAATTTTTAGATTCATTCTGCAGTGTCTGTCAGTTTCAGTGTTTTTTTTTTTACAGTTATACAAATACCTTAAAAAGTATTCAATGAGAGCCGGGCGCGGTGGCTCAAGCCTGTAATCCCAGCACTTTGGGAGGCTGAGGCGGGTGGATCACGAGGTCGAGAGATCGAGACCATCCTGGTCAACATGGTGAAACCCCGTCTCTACTAAAAATACAAAAAATTAGCTGGGCATGGTGGCACGTGCCTGTAATCCCAGCTACTCAGGAGGCTGAGGCAGGAGAATTGCCTGAACCCAGGAGGCGGAGGTTGCGGTGAGCCGAGATCGCGCCATTGCACTCCAGCCTGGGTAACAAGAGCGAAACTCCGTCTCAAAAAAAAAAAAAAAAAAAAAAAAAAAACTCAATGAGGCAGTTTCCTCCAAATTCCGAGTTCCAAGCTTCACTTAAGATTTATGTAGGGCCTGGCGCGGTGGCTCAAGCCTGTAATCCCAGCACTTTGGGAGGCCAAGGCGGGTGGATCACGAGGTCAAGAGATCGAGACCATCCTGGTTAACATGGTGAAACCCCGTCTCTACTAAAAATACAAAAAATTAGCTGGGCATGGTGGCGTGTGCCTGTAATCCCAGCTACTCAGGAGGCTGAGGCAGGAGAATTGCCTGAACCCAGGAGGCGGAGGTTGCGGTGAGCCGAGATTGCGCCATTGCACTCCAGCCTGGGTAACAAGAGCGAAACTCCGTCTCAAAAAAAAAAAAAAAAAAAAAGATTTATGTAACGTCCAAAACACTTCCAAAATTTTTTTTGATCTATCCTCCTTGTTGATTGCTTTAATTGGCCTTTGCAAATGTCACATATAAAGATACCTTAACACTGGTCTTTCAAATTAAATTAAAAAAAAAAAAAAAAAAGGTCTTTCAGTAAAAACAAAGCCAAAAGCAGAGTAAAAAGAAAAAAGAGAAAAGAAAAAAAAAAGTGGGCCGGGCACGGTGGCTCAAGCCTGTAATCCCAGCACTTTGGGAGGCCGAGGCGGGTGGATCATGAGGTCAGGATATTGAGACCATCCTGGACATGGTGAAACCCCGTCTCTACTAAAATACAAAAAATTAGCTGGGTGTGGTGGTGCGCACCTGTAGTCCCAGCTACTCAGGAGGCTGAGGCAGGGGAATTGCTTGAATCTGGGAGACGGAGGTTGCAGTGAGCCGAGATCGTGCCACTGCACTCCGACCTGGCGAAAGAGTAAGACTGTCTCAAAAGAAAAAAAAAAAGAATGCAGCAAATTCTGTAGCAAGCCAACTCAGGAAAAAACAAATGCAACAACTTATTTGCTCTATTGGTTAAAGTCAGTGAGATGCTTTGTGAAGATCAACTGGGGAGGAAGGAAAACTACTCTAGTGTCAGAATGCTGCTGCTTATGAATTGGGAGACAGCCTGGAGCAACCCAGGACAGCTAGCATTAAACCTAGTTGCTATGAACTTTTTAAAAAAATGCCATAGTTTCTTGACTTCTGGAACAAAGTGGAGTGAAAATCAAAGCTTGAGAATGGACCCTTCAAAATACTTTAGTTCATTAATTAAAGCCTACTGCTCATGTATGCCTGGCAGGATGAAGTTAAGGCAACGATTTCAATTTGGAGTCAATTGCAATATGCAATACCTCCTACCCAATCACAGAGTCAATATTTAAAATTTTTCTTCCTTACCAAAGTCAGCTTTCTAAAAAAAAAAAAGTTTTATCAATGGCAACTACCTGTTTCAAACAGTAGCAGAACCCTGCATTTTAGTTAAGTTTTCTGCAAAAATCTTCAATGCTTCAATATTAGCAACAAACATAAACTGTTCATAGTTTCAAACTGTTCAAAGAAAATGCCTATCCTCTTATTTTCTATCCACAGCAGGGTCCTAGTTCAGGTCCTCCTTTCTTTTACACTCATTATTATATAATAACCTTGAAACCAGTCTAACATAATTCTCTGGATGTTTTCTCCAATGTACCACTAGTATCTTTTTAAGTTATGTATGGTTGGCCGGGCGCGGTGGCTCACACTTATAATCCCAGCACTTTGGGAGGCCGAGGCAGGTGGATCACCTGAGGTTAGGACTTCGAGATCGGTCTAACCAATACGGTGAAACCCCGTCTCTAAAAAAAAAAAGAAAAACGAAAAGAAAAAAAAAGATACGTATGGTCTTTTGAAACTTCATTCAACCTTGCACAATCCCTCCAGCATTAGCATTTATCATTTTGTTGTCATTATATATTTACAAAAATCTCCTCTCTATTTCATCTTGATTTCCTAGTGGGCAAAAACTAATTATTACTGGTCTTTGGTCTACTGCATAGTCAGCACATAGCACTCTACAAAACCACTTTAGTTAATTATGAATCCAACTCTCATATTAGCTTTTAGATGGCCTAAGAATTCCCTCTTTGAACACCAGAGACCAGATTTCCTTCTTAATCCATTATTTTTATGTGAAAATTTTACTGCAAATATTGATGAAAAACACCTGAATTTTTCTTTGAAGCTAGTGCACTGGAAAAATGCACTTCAGTGACTGAAAGTGATCATGTATGTTAAGAGACAGGCTCTCACTCTGCACCCAGGCTAGAATGCAATGGTGATATTGTAGCTCACTGAGATTATAGGTGCAAGCCACAGCACCCAGCCCAATTATCATAGTCTTTTTATAGCTTTGTCATTAGTAACTACTAAAAGATGTGAGCTGCCTGCTCCAGTTCCTGTAGCTTTTTAGGTTTTATCACCCATACCCACCAGCTTTTACATCTAATTCTGCCTGCACCAATTCATCTCACACTCCAAAATTTTAAGATACCATAGACTAGAAAGCTAATATAATCAAGCTTGTTATTTATACCAGGCCGGGCACAGTGGCTCAAGCCTGTAATCCCAGCACTTTGGGAGGCTGAGGCCGGTGGATCACGAGGTCAAGAGATCGAGACCATCCTGGTGAACACGGTGAAACCTCGTCTCTACTCAAAATACAAAAAAACTTAGCTGGGCATGGTGGCGCGTGCCTGTTATCCCAGCACTTTGGGAGGCCGAGGTGGGTGGATCATGAGGTCAAGAGATTGAGACCATCCTGGTCAACATGGTGAAACCTTGTCTCTAATAAAAATACAAAAAATTAGCTGGGCATGGTGGCGCATGTCTGTAATCCCAGCTACTCAGGAGGCTGAGGCAGGAGAATTGCCTGAACCCAGGAGGTGGAGGTTGCGGTGAGCCGAGACTGCGCCATTGCACTTGCACTCCAGCCTGGGTAAGAGCAAAACTTCTCAAAAAAAAAAATATATATATATTTATATCAAAGGTTGATCATGATTACACACACTCGAAGTCCCAGTTACTCCAGACGCAAGAGGATCCTTTGGGCTCAGGGATTTAAGATCAGCCTAAGCAACAGTGAGACCAGCTCTAGTTCTAATCAACATCAGAAAAAGATGCCATAGAAATAACACTATCACTTCGATTTGCACTCAACTCTTTTTTGTAGGGATAGGGTCTCACTGTGCTGCCAAGGTTGGTTTTGAATTCCTGGCCTCAAGCAATCCTCCTGCCTTGATCTCCCAAAGTGGTGGGGATTATAGGCATAAGCCCAGACGCCTGGCCTCAAATCTTAAAACCCAGCCTAGTTTAGTAATTAAAACCCTCTCCACTTTTAAGGGCTGGGCACCTGTAATCCCAGGACTTTGAGAGGCTGAGGGCAGATCACCTGAGGTCAGGAGCTTGAGACCAGCCTGGCCAACATGATAAAATCCCATCTCTACTAAAAATACAAAAAATTAGCTGGGTGTGGTGGTGCATGCCTGTAGTCTCAGCTATTTGGGAGGCTGAGGTAGGAGAATTGCTTGACACCAAAAGGCAGAGGTTGCAATGAGCGGAGACTGTGCCACTGCACTCCAGCCTGAGTAACGAGTGAGACTCCATCTTAAAAAACAAACAAAAAGGCCAGGCGTGGTGGCTCACGCTTGTAATCCAAGCACTTTGGAGGCCAAGGTGGGCGGATCACCTGAGGTCGGGAGTTCAAGACCAGCCTGACCAACATGGCAAAACCCCGTCTTTTTTAAAAACAAACAAAAAAACCTCCCCATTTTAAAGTTTTCTTCTGTGATTCAGTCCAAATCAGTTATGAATCATATTATACATTTACTTAATAATCTTAAGGTATTTTAAATTACATCATGCTACATTTTTAGCAAGTCACATGCATAACATGCAAAGATATTAAAATATTAAACATTATGAAAAACATATTCAGCCAGGCGTGGTGGCTCAAGCCTGTAATCCCAGCACTTTGGGAGGCCGAGGTGGGTGGATCACAAGGTCGAGAGATCGAGACCAACCTGGTCAACATGGTGAAACCCTGTCTCTACTAAAAATACAAAAAATTAGCTGCGCATGGTGGCACGTGCCTGTAATCCCAGCTACTCAGGAGGCTGAGGCAGGAGAATTGCCTGAACCCAGGAGGCAGAGGTTGCGGTGAGCTGAGATCCCGCCATTGCACTCCAGCCTGGGTAACAAGAGCAAAACTCCACCTCAAAAAACAAAAACAAAACAAAACAAAAAAAATTCAAAGTTGATGGGTAAATTTTTCTTTTTTTTTAAGATGGGGGTCTCACCATGATGGCCAGGCTGGTCTTGAACTCCTGATCCCAGGTGATCCACCCACCACCTTGGCCTCCCAAAGTGCTAGAATTACAGGCATGAGCCATCGCACCCAGCCGTAAATTTTTCTTAAATAGCAAAATGTAGCTTTGTTCTAAAGCCCATCATGAAAGTCAGTAAATTTCACATTCAATCAAAAGTGCCCTCTGCTTTTATAATAGCATATTATTATACACACTATATATTTAATAACATAGTGATAATGTAGATAAAATATTAGAAAATAGGCATCACAAGGATTTAGACAATTAAGGTAAGCTCAGAGTGACTTTTAATATGCCAATCCATGTTAATAAAACACAAGTCAAAGACAAGTGCAAACATGTTTTAGACCAAAATTAATGAGACAAACAATAGACAATTTTTTTCAACATCTGTTAGCCAGTATTATTAGTCAAATGGCTAATCACAGATAAAATATATTTTGTGAAAAACTTGGAATGTCAGAAGTCATTCTGGCATTTCAAACAGCTATGTACAGTATCATCAAGATCAGTTTATATACACAAATAATTGAAGAGAAACCAGGCGAAACATTTAAAAACAGACTAACAATACAATCAAGTACAAAACTTGGGGGAAGACATTTTAAAAGAGTCAGGGAAGGACATTACCAGAAAAAGTTACAAAACCAGTAATTATCATACTACATTAATACAGCATTCCAAAGAGGGGTAAGGGTGCATTTTTCCAATGCACTAGCTTCAAAGTTCAATGGAAAAAAAAAAAGGCAAATAGCTGCTTTTCATCAAAACCAGCTATACATTTCACATAATTGTTTCGAAAAGAAAACCTATTCACAACAATGATTGTTTAATGCTACAAGTTTACAGCAAAGACAAAACTAAAATAGCAGCAAATTCACAAGGCAATACTTCCACAGAATTATCATCCCATGGTTCATGCAATGCCTACAAAGTGCTCCCAGTGGGATATACAAGTATAATTCACAATTAAAAAAAAAAAAGAAATATAAGAGGGACACACAGGTACATTGAAGGCTGAGTAGTAATGAGTCTTTTAGCAAGTCCCTTTTCAAAGGGAGAGTATGTCTGTAATAAAGCCCTTGAGTACTTTTTACAGGTCACTACAGGGAAAGACACCTTTTATTACAATGCAACAGCAAACTATAAGCAGCACACCACCACAGTGGTTAACCCTGGAAAGGCTGGTGTAACATCCAACAGTGACACATCCTACAGAAGACAGACTGGTAAGATTAGATGAAAGCCTAACACAGCAATGGTCAAAATACAGCTTTCAACTGTAATTCACAATAAAAGTCCTAATCAGTAAAACTACTGACACCAATTGAGAAAAGTAATTGCAAACTGAATTCTATCAGTGATTCCAACCTAGCTTCCTCTCATCACAGTTTATAGGGGGAGGTGGGAAATGAGTAGCTCAGTATATAGTTAGGCTGACAGAGCGGTTCATTTTCTTTCCAATAAGCCGAGATGTTCTATTACTCTGGGTGGTGGACCTAGTGGCCATCCGGTCAGTGAAGAGCGCTCTTTCCTCAGCTGCAGCTTTTGCCATCTGTGCTTTCTTGAGTTCTCTGGCATAAAAATAGAAAACAAGATAATAATCCTACGAAGAGATCCTAAGAAGCTAAACACAAACTGTATTATCAACTGGGGTATATTTGCATGCCATCATTATTCCAAGATATAACTGAAGAAAAGAATATAACATGTAACTGAAGCTTCTATTAAAACAAATTTATGAAATGATTTTATTTTGTGCGTTTTAAATTAAAATATCGCCGGGCGCGGTGGCTCACGCCTGTAATCCCAGCACTTTGGGAGGCCGAGGCGGGTGGATCACAAGGTCAAGAGATCGAGACCATCCTGGTCAACATGGTGAAACCCCGTCTCTATTAAAAATACAAAAAATTCGGTGGCTCAAGCCTGTAATCCCAGCACTTTGGGAGGCCGAGGGGGGTGGATCACGAGGTCGAGAGATCGAGACCATCCTGGTCAACCTGGTGAAACCCCATCTCTACTAAAAATACAAAAAATTAGCTGGGCATGGTGGCACGTGCCTGTAATCCCAGCTACTAAGGAGGCTGAGGCAGAATTGCCTGAACCCAGGAGGCGGAGGTTGCGGTGAGCCAAGATCGCGCCATTGCACTCCAGCCTGGGTAACAAGAGCGAAAACTCCATCTCAAAAAACAAAAAAAGAAAAAAAGAAAAAAAAAAAATACAAAAAATTAGCTGGGCATGGTGGCGAGTGCCTGTAATCTCAGCTACTCAGGAGGCTGAGGCAGGAGAATTGCCTGAAACCAGGAGGCGGAGGTTGTGGTGAGCCGAGATCACGCCACTGCACTCCAGCCTGGGTAACAAGAGTGAAACTCCATCTCAATAAAAAATAAAATAAAATAAAAAATAAATTAAAATATCACATACACTTGGAAACAAGTAATAAAGATACTAGTAATGACTTTGGGTCTTATGAAATAATGTGAGCTGCATGTGATGACTCACAACTGTAGTCTCAGCTACTCTGGAAGCTGAGGTTGGGGGATCACTTGAGTCTCAGAGTTCAATGCTACAGTGAGCTATGATAGTGCCACTGTACTCCAGCCTGGGTGACAGAGCAAGACTCCATCTTTTTAAATAAATAATAAAAAATAATTTCCAGACAAACCTATCCCCAGTAAAAAAAATTAGAAATAATTTGAAATAAAATTCCAATTTATATTGTGAATCTATCCTTACATAACAGAGACAAAAAGAGAAGTTTATTTCCTAGTTGTATGAACTATGATGGATATCAAACTAGTTTTTACAATTAAAAATATACAATTGCCAGGTGCGGTGGCTCAAGCCTGTAATCCCAGCACTTTGGGAGGCCGAGGCGGGTGGATCACGAGGTCAAGAGATCGAGACCATCCTGGTCAACATGGTGAAACCCCGTCTCTACTAAAAGCGCAAAAAATTAGCTGGGCATGGTGGCACGTGCCTGTAATCCCAGCTACTCAGGAGGCTGAGGCAGGAGAATTGCCTGACCCCAGGAGGCGGAGGTTGCGGTGAGCCGAGATCGCACCATTGCACTCCAGCCTGGGTAACAAGAGCAAAACTCCGTCTCAAAAAAAAAAAAAAAAAAAAAAATACAATTAAAAAAAAAATAAAGATGGGGTTTCACCATGTTGGTCAGGCTGGTCTTGAACTCCCGACCTCAGGTGATCCGTCCTTTGGCCTCCAAAGTGCTCATATCACAGGCGTGAGCCACCGCGCCCAGCCTTTAGTATACAACTTTTATTATTTAACTATTAAATCTTAATACTTTTTTTTTTTTTTTTTTTTTTTTGAGACAGAGTTTCGCTCTTGTTACCCAGGCTGGAGTGCAATGGCGCAATCTCGGCTCACCGCAACCTCCACCTCCTGGGTTCAGGCAATTCTCCTGCCTCAGCCTCCTGAGTAGCTGGGATTACAGGCACATGCCACCACGCCCAGCTAATTTTTTGTATTTTTAGTAGAGACGGAGTTTCACCATGTTGACCAGGATGGTCTCAATCTCTTGACCTCGTGATCCACCCGCCTTGGCCTCCCAAAGTGCTGGGATTACAGGCTTGAGCCACCGCGTCCAGCCAAATCTTAATACTTAATGTAACCTTTCAAGTCAGTTTTATTAGGTGAAAATCAAAATGGTTGCAATATATCAGAAGAATTAGAAATGTGATCTGTGGTCACTTAATATGCTCCAATATTGTCTTTATTTTAATTTTTTTTTTTTTTGAGACAGAGCTCTGTTGCCAAGCTGGAGTGCAGTGGTGTGATCTCCACTCACGGCAACCTCCGCCCCGCCCAGGTTCAAGCAATTCTCCTGCCTCAGCCTCCCGAGTAGCTGGGACTACAGGTGCACGTCACCACGCCCAGCTAATTTTTGTATTTTTTTAGTAGAGATGGGGTTTCACTATGTTGGCCAGGATGGTCTCAATCTCTTGACCTCATGATCCGCCTGCCTTGGCCTCCTCCCAAAGTGCTGGGATTACAAGCCTGAGCCACCATGCCCGGCCTCTTTTTAAAATTTTTGAAACAGAGTTTTGCTCTTGTTGCCCAGGCTAGAGTACAATGGCATGATCTAGGCTCATTGCAACCTCCGCCTCTCAGATTCAAGCGACTCTCGTGCCTCAGCCTCCCAAGTAGCTGGCATTACAGGAGCGTGCCACCACAACCTGCTAATTTTGTATTTTTAGTAGAGACAAGGTTTCTCCATGTTGGTCAGGCTGGTCTTGAACTCCTGACCTCAGGTGATCTGCCTGCCTCGACCTCCCAAAGTGCTGGGATTACAGGTGTGAGCCACCACACCTGGCTAAATATTCTCTTAATAACCTTTACCACTGCAACCAGCTTTTCAAAAATACCAAGTCATTAAGTCAAATATGAGAATTTTCAATCAGCACATAAAGATTTAGACAGAAATTAAAAACATATATATGGGAATCATCTACTAACCAAATTGACATTAATTTCCTAAAATAAGAACAGAATGTTTTAAGGAAATATTAATTTTTGGTGAGTCTGGGAAGAAAAAAATCGGTATAGGCTCACTTAGCGTTTACTATCATGTATGGATTGGAGACTACCACCACTTGCAAATATATGTTAGTCTCGACATTTTTTTTAAAACGATTTTTTCTTTTTTACTTTTTGGACACCACACAGAGCATAGTCTCAACATTTTTAAAGTTCATAATATCGAAGTTTAGAAACAACACAAATTTAATATGTCAAATACTAATTTATGGCAGAAGTCCCCAAGCTTTCACTGAATAACATATCAAACTACTGGAGCTGGGTGAGGTAGCTCACGTCTATAATCCCAGCACTTTGGGAGGCCAAGGTAGGTAGATGGCTTGAGCCCAGGAGTTCAAGACCAGCCTGGGCAAAATGGCAAAACCCCATCTCTACAAAAAATATAAAAATTAGCTGAGCTTTGTGGCTAAGCTACTCAGAAGGTTGAGGTAGGAGGATAGCTTGAGCCTGGGAGATGGAGGTTGCAATGAGCCATGATAGCACCAGTGCACTTCAGCCTGGCCACAATGAGACCATGTCTCAAAATACAAAAAACTTGTTTTGCATAATGATCAAACACACACACACACACACCCCTAAAATCCTTTGTTGACACAAAGCTTAAATCATTTCTCATTAAAATTTGAGAACTAAAGAGAATGAGAAAGTAAAAAGTAAACAAAAAACTCTAACTTACTTCTGTAAAAGTGAATTTTTGAACTTTTCGGCATTCAGTTCTATGCGTAACTGCTCTGCACTCTTTCTAGAAGCGGATAGCAACACTGAATGTTTTACCAGTGCCGTTGCTGAAGGTCTTCTCTCTGGATCTGGATGAATCATAACCTTAAAAAGAAAAGTAAAATTAAGGTAAAGACATGCTTTTAATAAAATATAGAACCATGTCAATAAAGAGCTTCATATATAAAATGCTCACTTTCAGCAACTCTGTAAATTCTTGGGAAAGCACTTGTGGTATCCGAGGTAATCTACCCTGTCTGATTTCATGCCATTGATCTCCATTTCTGGGAAGAGGTTCAGCACCAGCAGCACATACCACTGTGAGGGCAAGCGCAAAAATATCTGCTTTTGGTAGATGGGTATAATTCTGCAAAATTTAAAAAATATTTTTTTAAGTAATGTAAAGCAGGTCAAAATAAAACAAGATTACACTTCAAATATGATTTAGGTGAAAATCAAAATGTCTGATGTCACATTCAAGTTTAGGACTTATTTAGAGAATAAACTGCTAAATTTGGGGAGGTTTATTTTTTAAATTACAAAGTAATACACACTCTAAGGGGAAAAACGCAAACACATATATAAAAGTAAATGCCTCTTCTTTATCAACAGCCAAATTTAACTCTCAAACCCCAAACATTAGGAATTCATATGCAAACACAAAACACATAGAAACACACTAATTCAGTTCCATCTTCTCTAATCAGAAGAGAAAAAAAAGAAACATACTTGATAAGTTACAAATACACACATACGTGATAAAGCAAACATATCTATACCCATATTTACAAAAAGCAATGGGATCATATAATTACAATTTGTGTTTTTCTTATTCTATTTTCATTCAAAATTTTTCTCAAGAAATACTTTGTCGCCGGGCACGCTAGCTCAACCCTGTAATCCCAGCACTTTGGGAGGCCGAGGCGGGTGGATCACGAGGTCAAGAGATCGAGACCATCCAGGTCAACATGGTGAAACCCCGTCTTTACTAAAAATACAAAAAATTAGCTGGGCATGGTGGCACATGCCTGTAATCCCAGCTACTCAGGAGGCTGAGGCAGGAGAATTGCCTGAACCCAGGAGGTGGAGGTTGCGGTGAGCCGAGATCGCGCCATTGCACTCCAGCCTGGAACAAGAGCGAAACTCCGTCTCAAAAAAAAAAAAAAAAAAAAAAAGAAATACTTTGTCATTTTTGAAACTACATGCCACACTAATAACTATGTGCCATTATTTACTTAATAATTCTCTTATTCGTAAACACTATTTACATTGTTTTCAACTTGTGTTTATATGTTAGTATTTCTATAGGAAAAACTCCTAGAAGTGAAAATTATGAGTCAGTGGGTACATGATTTTTAAATATTAATGCAATACTAATACTGTGATCTCCAAAAAGGACATGCCATTTTAAAGTTCCACCGCTGGTGTACGAGGACATCTTTTTTTTACCACAATTCCATTATAAATCTTTGTCTTCATGACTTTTTGCAAATTAAATACCCTTAGCTCATGGTTTAGATTTTATTTCTGTTCTATTAGTTAACTTAAAAGTTTAATATATCTGAATTTATATTCTTCTATCAACTCCTAAGTGTTACAAAGCAAACTATAATTAAGGGTGAAGAAAAATTACCTCCTGTAAAACTTCATTTGCAAGAAAACGACTATCACCCTCTTCAACTTGTGGACTGGAGATCCTTGTTACATGCCCAAGATCACCTAGAAGTATTCAAAAAAAATAGTCAAGAGCAAAAACAAAACAGCCTTCTCTTTATTTTAAGGTAATAATCTTGTTATCTTTTTTACCTATTTTAAATATAACTTTGTTGGATGCCCAGTCATCTTCATCTCCTTCTTCAGAGGCAGCATTTGGGATTGAGGTTCGAGATATGAAAATATTACCTGTCAAACAGTTAAGTATGTAAGCCAAACTAATAATAAAACCAGACTTTATAAACAAAATCATATACCAAAATCATCCAGCATGCTTTTTAAAATGCCAATTCTCAAGTTCTATCCCAAACCCATGAAGAATAAGAATCCCAGGAGATATGGACTAGGGTTATATTTTCTGGGATTTTTGTTTGTTCGTTTGCTTTTTGTTTGAGACAGTCTTGCTCTGTCTCCTAAGTTAGAGTGCAGTGGCATCATCTTGGCTCTCTGCAACAAGGTTTAAGCAATTCTTTTCTTTTTTTTGAGACAGAGTCTCACTCTGTCACCCAGGCTGGAGTGCAATGGCAAGATCTCAGCTCACTGCAACCTCCGCCTCCCAGGTTCAAGCGATTCTCCTGCCTCAGCCTCCTGAGTAGCTAGGATTACAGGCACGTGCCACCACGCCCAGCTAATTTTTGTATTTTTGTATTTTTTTTTTTTTTTGAGACGGAGTTTCGCTCTTGTTACCCAGGCTGGAGTGCAATGGCGCGATCTCGGCTCACCGCAACCTCCGCCTCCTGGGCTCAGGCAATTCTCCTGCCTCAGCCTCCTCAGTAGCTGGGATTACAGGCACACGCCACCATGCCCAGCTAATTTTTTGCACCTTTAGTAGAGACGGGGTTTCACCATGTTGACCAGGATGGTCTCGATCTCTCGACCTCGTGATCCACCCGCCTCGGCCTCCCAAAGTGCTGGGATTACAGGCTTGAGCCACCACGCCCGGCCAATTTTTGTATTTTTAGTAGAGACCGGGTTTCAACATTTTGGCCAGGCTGGTCTCGAACTCCTGACCTTGTAATCCACCCACCTCGGCCTCCCAAAGTGCTGGGATTACAGGCGTGAGCCACCGCGCCCGGCAGGTTTAAGCAATTCTTACTCAGCCTCCTGAGTAGCTGGGACAAGAGGCACATGCCACCATGTCTAGCTAACTTTTATATTTGGTAGAGATGGGGTCTCGCTACATTGGCCAGGCTGATCAAGCACCTGGCCTCAAGTGATCTCCTGCCTCAGCCCCCCAAAGTGCTGAGATTACAGGGATGCGCCACTACCCTGGGCCTCTGAGTATATATTTTCCAGCCTAGCACTGATCCCTAAACACTTCAAACTGCATGACACCCTTGTCATCTGCACATTACTCTTCAGCAAAAAAGGTAGTAACTGTAATTTGTGAAATTCTGTGAAAGCACAAATTTTAACGTGGTGCTATAAGGCTGGTGTGAGCAGAATGAGTCATTCAGCCAGTGAATCTGGGTGACAATACAGCATCTAGCTTGCAATATGCCTTTGTGATTCACTATTTCCTACTGTATACACATTATCTTTTTCTTCACATTCAGGTAAGATCATGATTAACATGAGCTGTTAGTGGCAGATTTTATTTATTTATTTTTATTTTTTTAAAAAAGACGGGGTTTCACCATGTTGGTGAGGCTGGTCTTGAACTCCCGACCTCAGGTGATCCGCCCGGCTTGACCTCCACAGTGCTTGGATTACAGGTGTGAGCCACTATTCCCGGAGTGGCAGATTTTAATAGTTTTGTTTTATCAGTATAGTATTGCCCAGGTATGGTGGCTCATGCCTGTAATCCCAGTGCTTTGAGAGGCTGAGGTAGGAAGATTGCCTAAGATTTGGAATTCGAGGCAAGCCTGGGCAAGACAGTGAGACCCTGTCTCTACAAAAAGAAAAAATAAAAATAGGGCTGGGCGTGGTGGCTCACGCCTGTAATCCCAGCACTTTGGGAGGCTGAGGCGGGTAGATCACAAGGTGACGAGATCGAGACCATCCTGGCCAACATGGTGAAACCCCGTCTCTACTAAAAAATACAAAAATTAGCTGGGTGTGGTGGCACGTGCCTGTAGTCCCAGCTACTCGGGAGGCTGAGGCAGGAGAATTGCTTGAATCTGGGAAGGGGAGGTTGCAGTGAGCTGAGATCACGCCACTGCACTCCAGCCTGGCACCTGGCGACAGAGCGACTCTCTCTCAAAAAAAAAAAGAAAAAAGAAAAAGAAAAATAGCTGGGAATGGTGGTGCATGCCTGAAGTCCCAACTACTTGGGAGGCTGAGGCAGGAGGTTTATTTGAGCCCAGGAATTCAAAGCTGCAGTGAGCTATGATTGCACCACTGCATTCCAGCCTGGGCAACTGAGAGACTATCTCTTTAAAAAATAAGGCCTGGGCCAGGCGCAGTGGCTCTCACACCTGTTAATTCCAGCACTTTGGGAGGCCGAGGCAGAAGGATCACAAGGTTAGGAGTTTGAGACCAGCCTGACCAACATGGTGAAACCCCATCTCTACTAAAAATACAAAAATTAGCCTGTGTGGTTACATGCACCTGTAATCCCAGCTACTCAGGAGGCTGAGGCAGGAGAATGGCTTGAATCCAGGCGGGCAGAGGTTGTAGGGAGCTGAGATCGCACCACTGCACTTCAGCCTAGGCAACAGAGCAAGACTCTGTCTCAAATACACACACACACACACACACACACACACACACACACACACACACAAAATATATAACATAGAATATATGTTGCATTTACTGGAGTAATCTATACAGTTTTACTTTATTTATAGGACAACTTATTTTGTGGTGGTACTTGTAAATTTGAAGATTTTTAAACTTCACATCCCTTAATACTTTCAAATTTTATACCTTATAAGGGTCTATTATATTTGTCTAACACTTTATATAAGAGATAAGTGAGTACAGGCATTCCTTACAAATTCACATTTACTGCCTTAAGTCCTCAGGAGGCTGAGGCAGGAGAATTGCCTGAACCCAGGAGGCGGAGGTTGCGGTGAGCCGAGATCGTGCCATTGCACTCCAGCCTGGGTAACAAGAGCGAAACTCCGTCTCAAAAAAAAAAAAAAAGAAATTCTAGCATATAATTCACAAAGTTGTACAAAATGACTTCTCACAAATCAACACATTTCCGAAGATTAATAAAAACCTCATTAAATTCATCGAGCCTAAAATGCTTAACTTGAATCCATATCCCTTAGCTATAACTTCCAATTTATAGGAAATACAGAAAAAGGGATAGCTTGAAAGATAAGTATAATTTACACAAAGTAGGGGATGGGATCTGAAAAAGAAAAATTGATATAACCATATGCAATGCATGACCCTTAAGTACATACTAATTTGAACCAATCAACTATTAAGGACTTGAGTCAACTGGGGAAAATGTTAATATGGTCTGGCTAGTGGAGAATGGGGCTTTAAACACAGATTTTTAGTGCCCTCATTAGTATGCCACAGCAGTTCCTATAAGATGCAGTAAAAATTTTTGGCTTTTAATAAAAATGAATTTATCTAGGCATGGTGGCACATGCCTGTAGTCCCAGCTACTGGGAAGAATGAGGTTGGATGACTGAGTATGGAATGAGTAGGCTGCAGTGAGCAGAGATGGCGCCACTGCATTCCAGCCTGGGCAACACGCAGTCTCAAAAAAAAAAAGTTTATCATCTCAAATTTTGGGGGTTAACAAGGGAAGAGGTAAACAGAAATCATAAAACAATATTGGTAAGTGGATCCAAGGCCTTTTAAAACTAACAATGAGAAAACATAAGACATATGTTTTCAATACTGTCATAATAAAGTAATTTATTTTCTACAACCCCAAAGAACACAGGTCAAAAGATCTGCAATACTTACTAGGTTTTATATCCATGTGAACCAAAGACATTGAATGAATATATCTTAAACCCCGGCCAACTTGCAAAAGGAGATCCTTCAACTCTGCTTCTTTAAAGTAACTCATGATTCTGTAGTTTTCACTTATAGCATCAGCTAAACTTCCACCTAACAAAGATAGAAAATATTATCATTTTCTTCTTTCTTTCTTCTTTCTGCCATCTTTACTGAATGAGTCTCAACCAACCAACCTCAGCCAAGAAAGTGTTTTTTTATAGGATATTCTCCCTTCAACCTGCTTATGAAATCAGAATTATATTGTTTTTTCAATAGGTAATACATTTGCATGGGTACAAAATAAAATGTAGTCTCTCTCATTCATACACGTCAGCAACCCACCTCTTTCATTCCCAGAGTAAACAAACATTATCAGTTTTTTTTCTTCTTTTTCAATTTATAAGAGACCGGGTCTCTTTACATTGCCCAGCTGGAATACAATGGCCATTCACAGGCTTGATCCCACTACTTATCAGCACACTACTTATCAGATCCCACTACTTATCAGAACAGTTTTGACCTGTTCTGTTTCTGACCTAGGCCATTTTACATCTTTTTAGGTGGTGCTCCACTCCAGAGAGGTCACCATACTGATGCTGAACTTAGATCGGCATAGTGCACTACAGCCTAGAATTCCCAAACCTAAGTGATCTTCCTGCTTCAGTCTCCCAAGCAGTTGGGACTATAGGCATTGACACCATGCCCAGATCAGTTCTACGTATTCTTTTCAACCTTTTGCATAAGTAACAGCATATGGTTCATTATCTTTTTTTTTTTTTTTTTTTTAATAGAGACAGGGTTTCACCATGTGGGCCAGGCTGGTCTTGAACTCCTGACCTCACCCGGCCTCCCAAAGTGCTAGAATTATACACGTGAGCTACCGGGCCCGGTCATGTTTATTATCTTAACGATCATTCTATACCAATATACAAAGACAACCCATTTCTTCTTTCTCTATAGAATTCCATTGTATAATTGAATGGTAATGCATTTATCAGTCCCTCAATTGCTGGACATTTTAAAATTATTTCCAAGCCTCTGCTATTATATACCATGGCCTAATAAATAACCTTGTACATTGGTTATTTCACACACATTTAGTATACCACCTAGAAGTCAAATTGCTGGGTTAAAGGATATGCAAATTTGTAATATATGGAGATTGTGTTTTACACACACACTCTTCTCCACAGAGAAGGCTGTATCAATTTACATGCCCATTATCAACGTATGAGAATACCTGTTTCTCCATACCCTTGACAATACTAAAAAGTCAGTATTGCCGGGTGCAGTGGCGCACACCTGTAATCCCAGCACTTTGGGAGGGCGAGGCGGGTGGATCACAAGGTCAGAAGTTCAAGACCAGCCTGGCCAACATGTTGAAACCCTGTCTCTTAAAAAAGTAAAAAATAAAATAAGTAAATGTCAGTATTTTAGTAGAGTTTTTTTTTTGTTTGTTTGTTTTTGTTTGTTTTTTTTGAGACGGAGTTTCGCTCTTGTTACCCAGGCTGGAGTGCAATGGCGCAATCTCGGCTCACCGCAACCTCCGCCTCCTGGGTTCAGGCAATTCTCCTGCCTCAGCCTCCTGAGTAGCTGGGATTACAGGCACGTGCCACCATGCCCAGCTAGTTTTTTTCGTATTTTTAGTAGAGACAGGGTTTCACCATGTTGACCAGGATGGTCTCGATCTCTTGACCTCGTGATCCACCCGCCTCAGCATCCCAAAGTGCTGGGATTACAGGCTTGAGCCACCACGCCCGGCTTATAGTTTTATTTTATACTACTCTTACTATGAATGATATTATAACCTGCTTTTATAGAATTAATTAAACCAGTTAATTTGTTTATATCTTTTTAAATTTTCTTTTTTTTTTTTTTTTTAAATTAAAGTTTGGTCTTGAACTCCTGACCTCAAGTCATCTGCCCACCTCAGCCTCCCAAAGTGCTGGGATTACAGGCGTGAACTACCACGCCCGGCTATCTTTTTTAATTTTTTTCTTTTTTGAGATGGAGTTTCACTCTTGTTACCCAGGCTGGAGTGCAATGGCTCGATCTCGGCTCACCGCAACCTCCGTCTCCTGGGTTCAGGCAATTCTCCTGCCTCACCTCCTGAGTAGCTGGGATTACAGGCATGCGCCACCATGCCCAGCTAATGTTTTATATTTTTAGTAGAGACGGGGTTTCACCATGTTGACCAGGATGGTCTCGATCTCTTGACCTTGTGATCCACCTGCCTCGGCCTCCCAAAGTGCTGGGATTACAGGCTTGAGCCACCGCGCCCGGCTTCTTTTTTAATTTTTAAAGTTTGGGCAGGGTGGTTCACGCCTGTAATCCCAGCACTTTGGGAGGCCAAGGTGGGCGGATCACCTGAGGTCAGGAGTTTGAGATCAGCCTGAGCAACATGGAGAAACTCTGTCTCTACTAAAAATACAAAATTAGTCGGGCATGGTGGCACATGCCTGTGGTCCCAGCTACTCGGGAGGCTGAGACAGGAGAATCGCTTGAACCAGGGAGGCAGAGGTTGTGGTGAGCCGAGATCATGCCATTACACTCCAGCCTGGGCAACAAGAGTGAAACCCATCTCAAAAAAAAAAAAAAAAACCTTTAAAAGTTTATATTTTATCTCAAAGGCAATGAAGAACTGTTTTAAAAATCCGTTGGCTGGGCGTGGTAGCTCATGCCTGTAATCCTACCACTTTGGGAGGCTGCGGCAGGCAAATTGCCTGAGCTCAGGAGTTTAAGACCAGCAACACAGTGAAACCTCATCTCTACTAAAATACAAAAAAAATTAGCCAGGCATGGCAGCATGCACCTATAGTCCCATCTACTCAGGAGGCAGAATTGCTTGAACTGTCTCTGAAGGCAGAGGTCGCAGTGAGCCAAGATCTCGCCACTGCACTCCAGCCTGGGTGACAGAGCAAGATTCCATCTCTCTAAAAAAAAGAAAAAAACTTCTGTTTAAAGCTTAGGAATAAAAAAATCAGAGCTGGGTAATATAATTAGGCAGGTCAATGGTGTATTAGTCAGAAAAGGAGGTCCTACAATTTAAATAAGACTGACTAACACAAGGTCAAACGGGTTTTTAAAATAAAAATAAATTACATATCTCAGTATCTTATTCTTGAATATACATTCTCCTTACTTGCACAAATCTTGAACTGGGCGGGGAAATGAGGGCTCTAGAAGGGAGCAGACCAATAACGCTGTCAGACAAGACAGGCTAAGTCCTAGATCAAATTTGCTAACAAAAAATATGGCTAATTCTCTTTTTAGCAGGTCCAGCAACCACAGATGTGCCAATTTCTTATTGCTAGAAGGGCAAGAAAGGTGAGAAGAACAAAACAAGTTCTGACATTTCCGGTTCTCTTTCCCTATCCATCAGCATTTTTCTACACTTGTTTATACAGGTTAATTCCAACCAAACCAAGATAAAAGGCTTATCATGCAAATGAGTAAGATAATAAGGAAATTAAATCACAATAAAGGCAACAGGTTACTCAGGTACAAATAAATTTTAACACAATCCTTTTCCTGTGAAACTGGAAAAGATGTGAAGATGAGCCTTATTAGTATACTCAAAGTTTTATGCGGAAAGAGGAATGGTGGACACAGGAATTAAAAGGAAGAGATCACAAATGCATCCAGACAGTCTTATTTTCTTATATCTAACTAGGACAAACAGCCACAAAAAGAGGCAGTCCTGTTTCATGCAGGACTATTTTCTTCAAGTGTTTTATATTGTTTTAAAATAACTTATTTTCAATAGATTATTTTACTATCCAACATTATTACAGAACAATGTTTTTCTAATCTGAGAGAGTAGCAAGACTACTCACTCTTCCCTCTCAGACCCAGCTGAGTTTTCTCAAAATCATCTGATTTACACAACCATATGTTGGTAGGTTGCTACATTATTTGTCATTCCTGGACTACTACTAAACTATTCTGTTAAGAGAACTATTCACATCAATAAAGTGAGAGAGAAAGAAGGAAACTGAAAAGAGACGGTGTCTAGCAAATAAAGAATGGAGATGACATTACGGTCAAGTTATTTCAGGTTAAATGCAACATCTGAAAAATGAAGGCTAAAAATAAGGTCATGGGAGATACATAAATATTTTGATGGTATGAATAGAAACATTTCAAGAGCTGTGTGAAAAAAACTAGCAGCAATGCTGTATACTAGACACTCAAGTTCTTTGAAGTGTGGAGAACTAATAAAATAATCAGGCTTGAACAATGGATCTTTTACTTCTGCTTTGTTCAGTTTTTAAATTTGGGGAATCTGAATCTATACCCACACCACTTATTTATTTACAAATTATGAGATAACTGGTCTTATTTAAGGAATAATGAGAATCAACAAAAATAAACCTTTGTTATATCCTTTCAAGTGTTTACTAAACTCTAAATTCTCTTTACTCACAGAAGACGTACGAAAATAGAAACAATCTATAGATATTTTTCATTTCAGACTGGTAATGTGCTAATGTCGTAACAAGGTTTGAGGGAGGCACACTTCACACTTGAGTATGAAAACCCAATCATCATGCTTATAAACTACAAAAATGTTGAGAAATAATCTATTATATATAAAGATTTGGTGTATAATAATGAAAGACGTCCATAAGAATCAGAATTCTGACCAGGACTTTGGTAAAGGTTTTTAAGGAAAAAAGAGAGACGTAAATCAGCCCTTGAAGGACTTAAGAGAAACTGAAAGCTATACAGAGACATCCAAAGTTGAATCTATACATGCCTGTTTTGTTTCGTTCTTGAGGGACAGGAGGAAGAGAAGACAAACTAGAGAACTAAAAGAATGTAACATAATAAACTGTTAGTGGATCCCAGTGGTAGACTAGGTTGGATAGATGGGAACAGGGCAGGACTATAGAATGCTTAAACAAAGAGCTGATCAATGAAGATCAATGAAGTCAACATTAGGTCAGTCAACATTAGATCAATGAAGACTGACTGACAAACATCAGTTTTAGCAGCACACCAAATAAAATGGAAATAAAAGAGTAGACACAGGAAGAATCCATTCAACGTAACATTTCTTTCTTTTTTTTTTTTTTTTTTTTTTTTGAGAAATGTTAAGTTAAACCTAACATTTCTTTTTTTTTTTTTTTTAAGACGGAGTTTCGCTCTTGTTACCCAGGCTGGAGTGCAATGGTGCGATCTCAGCTCACCGCAACCTCCGCCTCCTGGTGAGCCCAGGCACGTGCCACCATGCCCAGCTAGTTTTTTTTGTATTTTCAGTAGAGACAGGGTTTCACCATGTTGACCAGGATGGTCTCGATCTCTTGACCTCGTGATCCACCCGCCTCGGCCTCCCAAAGTGCTGGGATTACAGGCTTGAGCCACCGCGCCCAGCTAAACCTAACATTTCATAACTACTATAAGCCCCACACACTATGATACTAGGTACTAAAGTCACCAAAATATATGTGGCAAGGCATTGTCTCTTAAAAAGTTCAGTTGGAGTGACAAGCACATAATAGTATGCAAAGTTCTACTACTGAGGTATGTACAAGGTGCTTCAGAAGGGACAAGGTTCTTAAACTTGTACCTGAAATTTATGTTAGGCCTCTAATATTTAAACTTATAAAAGATTAAAGTGACAGAAATGGAGCAAGATTTTAGATGATACTTCCTCGACGTTCTCAAGCTCACAAGAGAACCACTGTATCACTCACCATTACAGTATTCATTCTGTATAAGCATATGATCATCTTCTGCCCATGCAGAGAAATATCGAACTACATGAGAATGCTGTCCAAGAACTGCATGAGCATATACTTCTCTCAAAGCGTTCTGCCTAGGAGAAAATTGAGATTTGGTAAATAGAATGGTAAATAGTTTTAATTCAAGCTTAAATTGAATTAATTTATCTGAAACTTCAAACAATAAACTTGACTTTTGTATCTACTGTTATGCTAAAAAGCAACTTGCTTAAGAGAGAAGGGGTTTGGACTGGTATGAGATTTTTCCAAAGGAGGATTCCATTAAAGATTTATCAGCAAGAAGAAATGTTATTTGCCCTAGGACTCAGGTAAGAATAAACTCCATTTTACTGCAAATTCATGGATGCTGACTAGAAATAAGAAATTTAAGTTAGGTTCCAAAATCAGACTACTGGTATTATTCAACAAGTCCATTAAGAACTGATAGTACAAAGTGAAAAGGACCTGATTAAATCATTACAACTTCTCAAAAGTGAGAGATAGAATTCAGTGTTTGATTACCTAAAACCTTATGTTAGTAAAACCATAGCGGACAAAAGAGCAAAAGACAAATGTTTAATACATACTCATCAACAGAGCCAGCCAGTGGCTTTTTTGATCGCTTAATGGCATAAATGCATCCATCCAGCCTCTTCACACACTTAAATACAGAACCAAATTCTCCAGAGCCAATTTTCTCTAGCTCATGAAATTCTGTTGTATACCGGGACTTCATATTGCTTTCAGTAATTGTAATTCTCTGTAATAAAAAGCATTTCCATATATATATGTATATATACATATATACATATATACAGATATATATATAAAATACAAAAACGATTATTTTTAGCTATGGTGATAGGACTATGTGTGAAATTTAGAAACCATTCTACCTTATGTTTTAATGTTTAACATGTTCGTAGCATACTTTAAGTGGTAGAAAAGTAAATTTCAAAAAAAAAAAAAAAAAAAAAAAGGCTGGGCGCAGTGGCTCATGCCTGTAATCCCAGCACTTTGGGAGGCCGAGGCGGGTGGATCACAAGGTCAAGAGATCGAGACCATCCTGGTCAACATGGTGACACCCCGTCTCTACTAAAAATAAAAAAAAGGCCAGGCGTGGTGGCTCACGCCTGTAATCCCAGCTACTCAGCAGGCTGAGGCAGGAGAATTGCCTGAACCCAGGAGGCGGAGGTTGCGGTGAGCTGAGATCGTGCCATTGCACTCCAGCCTGGGTAACAAGAGCAAAAAACTCCGACTCAATTAAAAAACAAAAAAGAAAGAAATAAACTAACTATTTACCTTAGCAGGTCTTGTTTCATCTTCAAGCTCATAATCACTGGCTTCCATATCTTCACCACAGGAACTAAAAAAAATATGTATTTTTCTATTAATATATCTGACAGATACATCCATGCCATTAAATAGAAACTAAATTTTGGTAAGTATACCAAGCCAATCTTAGGTTATTTAGAGAACCACACTGTTAAAATAAATGACTTACTCATTCCAGTATGTTCTCTTTCTACGACGACACTGTCCTGAGGAATGAAGCAACACAGAATCCGGAGTAAAAGGATTAATATTCACTTGAGGAGTCTGTCGCACATCAAATTCCCTTTTTCCTGATTTTTCTGTATCCATGAAGAGAGAACTACCCCGGAGTTTAACAGAGCTGGAATCAATTCCTCGAGCTTTGGAGAGCAAACTCTAGGGAAGAAAAAAGACAATTTTTAGGATCCAAGTCCTATAGTCAGCCTTCTCAACCTAACCTTCAATGAGCCTTTCACAAGGTTGAATGCCTAGGTCAAAGCAACACACAAGCTATTGTTAGAATTCAAGCAAAATAAATTGTGGCTAATTTAGGAAGCCTGAAGCTGGATATGAATTACCTTTTCTGGAAAAAAAAAAGAAAAGGCAAGTAAAATCTGTCTCTAACCCTAAAAAGAACATGAATGCTACCTGAAACTAATTTCATTCTAGTGGCTAAAAGTTAACAAATTCTGGCCGGGTGCGGTGGCTCACGCCTGTAATCCCAGCACTTTGGGAGGCCGAGGTGGGTAGATCACGAGGTCAAGAAATCGAGACCATCCTGGTCAACATGGTGAAACCCCGTCTCTACTAAAAATACAAAAAAAAAATTAGCTGGGCATGGTGGCGCGTGCCTGTAATCCCAGCTACTCAGGACGCTGAGGCAGAAGAATTGCCTGAACCCAGGAGGCGGAGGTTGCGGTGAGCGGAGATCGCGCCATTGCACTCCAGCCTGGGTAACAAGAGCGAAACTCTGTCTCAAAAAAAAAAAAAAAAAAAAAAAAGTTAACAAATTCTTTCAACCCATCTGAGAGCCCCATAAAAGCTCCCCTCCCCCATCTAAATAGGGTTTTGATAGCCAACTTGGCTGGACTCCTTCCCTCACTTCCAGAGAGTTTGCCTTGAACAAGTTGGCCAAGAAACAGTAAAGCTCAAAAGCACACATATTCTTGAGGCTGCTGACAAACAGTACATTGAAAACAAAACAAACTCACTTAAAAGGTACATTTTTCATATTAATCTTACAAATGTGAGGCTTGTCTTACTCTGGAAATACCAGCTTTAAAATCTGCTGTTTTAAAAGTGGTATCTGGCTCACGTCTATAATTCAAGCACTTTGGAGGCCAAGGCGGGCGGATCACATGAGGTCAGGAGTTCAAGACCAACCTGACCAACATGATGAAACCGTATTTTAAAAAAAAAAGAATAAAAAAAAAGGAGTGGTAATCTGCACAGTACCGGAAGGCCATTCAAAACACAGGCGGTAAACGGTAAACACCTCTTTCTTTAAGATACCTTATCAACAGTAGGATGTGCCTAATCACACTGAGGCCGACCGAACTTTGAGCATGGCAAACTCAACGGATATAAACAAACGCTAATCCAAGGCCGTGTCCAGAAAGAGGCTTTAGTGCTACCTTGACTTATGGATGCGTCTGTGGGACTGTAAATGCTTGGAAGGCCAGCCAGCCTTTACTCCCAAGTACACGCGCAGGTTCTGCCCGCACACCCCAGGCTTCCCCCGCCCCATCAACGCCATACATATCAGTGCAGGACTTTTTTTTTTTAACCGAACTCCTTCTGCAAGGGCCGCCTAAATTACAGGCCCGATCACCGCGTTTAAAAGGCACCATATGGTTCGGGAGTGTCAGGTGGCCGGGCCAGCACCCTCCATCATCTTCGCAAACCGCGTTTTTGGTGCCGCTTTCGGGGCTGACATGCTCCGGGCGGCCGGGACTCAAGAGGCGGCAAATCCTCGGCCACCTGGACGGGCCAATCGGCCCCTCTGTAAGATGAAGAAGTTCCAGACGAGGCCCATTGTTCAGTTACATAATCTCAACCGACAACCGCGGGGCAGGGCCAAAAACAAGGGCTGCCAACTCTGGGGGGCGGCGCAGGAAAGCGACCGGGGGTGCGGCGGCCGCTTATGTAACCGAACCCGGGCAGCGGCGCGCTGGGCTCCGGCACCGCGGCCTTTTTAAAAGGCCGGACCGGCGCGGGCCCAGGAGGGGCCCCGGCCGCTGGGAGCCTGCGCCCGCCGCGCTCACCTTGGGCGTGTGCGGGGTGTCGAAGAGCCGCAGCTTGCGGAAGGTCTTGTGCGGCGGGGTGCCCGGGTGGTCGGGCCGCGGCGAGCAGGGGCCCTGGCGCGCCCCGCAGCTCCGCGGCGACGCATCCCCCGGGCCGCCGCAGAGCACGGGCGAGAACGAGCTGCCCAGGAAGTAGGGGGCCGCCGGCGACTTGACCGGCGACGAGGAGCCGAAGCCCTCCTCCTCCCACGAGTCGCCCTCCGCCCCGCCGCCCGCCTCGTCCGCGCCCCGGCAGGCGCCGGGCAGCAGCAGGTCCTCCTCCAGCTCGCCGGGGCTCCCTGGGGCCGGGCCGGGCGAGCGGCGGCGCTCGGGCCCAGGCTCCATGGGGCTCCGCGCAGGCGGCAGCGGCGAGTCGGGCTCCTGGAAGGCCGAGTCCTCCCCGGTGCTGTGGCCGCTGCCCTCCTCCTCCTCCTCTTCCTCTTCTTCCTCAAAGTCGCTGCAGGGCGAGAAGATCAGCTTCTGCCGCAAGGCGCAGGCGGCCCCGGCGCGGCGGGGCGGCGGCGGCTGCTGGCGGCTCAGGAAGCTCATCGCGGCCCTGGGGCCGGGGCCGAGGACTGGAGAGCGGAGGCCCGCGGGGTCCGGGACACGGCGGGACAGGGGGCGGGTCCGCCACGTGCAGCTAGGCGCGCCCGGCCGCGGCGTCTCTTCGCGGCGAGTAGCCGCGGCTCCCGGGCACTCGGGCTGCGGGCGGTGGCGGTGGCGGCGACGGCGGCGCGGACAGTCCGGCTGAGGAGGGGCGGCCCGAGCACCGAAGCTGAGGTCTCCTCAGGTCCAGTCTCAGGTTCGGGCTCCGCGGCTTCCCGCGACCGTTAACCACGTGATTTCCCAGTCCACCAATCCCCGTCCAGCTCCGGGTTTGAAAAAAAAAAGAGGGCGCGACGTAGCCCGCGGGGGAAGGACCAGCTACGCTATTTTGGCGCGAACCCGCTGGCTCCGCCCCCGGTTCCGCGCCGGTCTGGCCTAGGCGGGCCGTGGCGCTCTGGGCCTATGGGCGAGCCCAGGCGGCTGGGAACCCGGCCGGGCGCCGCCTGAACGCCTCCAGGGCAAGGCTGGGCCCGGGACCCGAGGCCGCCTTCTGGGAGGAGCAAAAGCGCTCAACTCGCCGAAGCTAACGTGAACGCCGGCCTGGACGCGGCCCTCTCGCTGCTCCTCCGTGCCGGGGGATCTGAAGAGGGCCAGGTGGCCGGGCGGCGTCTCCGGGTCTCTGCGAGCTGGGAAGACCCAGGAACCGAATGGCCTTCGGCCGCTTTCTCGGGAAACCACTTCTTGCCCCTTGTCCCTCGGGCCGGACCAGTGGGGCGTAGTGGGCGTGGCAGTGGGCAGCCCACGTTCCCGGGTCGAGGTCCGAGCCGGAAACGGTGACTCAGGCCTCAGGACCTTTCTGAACTGTGGGAGCCGACGTACTTAGGCCGGACGCGAGCTGGGAGGCGGCCTCTGAGCCCCAGTGTGGCCCCTGGGTGGGTGGCTGTTAGGGGCGGGTGTCTCCACAGCGAGAAGAGCGCTCCCTAGCCGGGGGCCACCTTTGCAGCCGACCTTGTCCGCGGCCAAAATAAACAGCAGCGCATTTGCCCACCACGACACCGGCACAGGACCTCAGTGTTTACATTTGTTTGCCAGCACGTGAGCATGCGTTGGCAAAACCGATTGGCCCGGCTTGCTGCAAACTTAAATGCAATTAAAAAAAAATTTCCCTAGTGCTCCGTTAAACCGATTTAATCCGTTCCTTAATGCACATACAAGTTTCTTGCAGTTTTCTTTTCTTTTTTCTGAGACGGGGTCTCGTTATGTCAATGAGGCTGCAGTGCAGTGGCACGATCTCGGCTCACTGCAACCTGCAACCTCCCCGCCTTCGCGGTTCAGCTGGGTGTAGCGATTGCAGGCATCTGCCACCACACCTGCCTAATTTTTTTTATTTTTAGTAGAGTCGGGGGGTTGCCATGTTGGCCAGGCTGGTCTTGAACTCCTGACCTCAAGCGATCCGCCTGCCTCGGCCTCCCAACGTGCTGGAATTACAGACAGCCACCGCACCTGGCCTCTTCCAGTTTTTCTGTTGTAAGTAACCCCATGGGATATATATTCTTCCTTCTCCGTGGGTTATTGGGTTTTTTGTTTGTTTGTTCGTTTTTGAGATGGAGCCTCTCTCTGTCACCCAGGCTGGAGTGCAGTGGCGCGACCTCAGATGATCTGCCTGCCTCGGCCTCCCAAACTGCTAGGCATGAGCCACTGTGCCTGGCCTTTTAAAAATGTTCTTTTGGCTACATCCCTGGAGTAAGAATTGCTGAGTCAAAGGATATAAACTGGCAAACTGCCCTCCAGAAACACAATTTACATTCTCACTAGCAGTAGATTAGAGCACACGCTGTGAATTCTGAACATCAATTGTTATTTAATGTTTGTTGATGTGTTTTTGTTGTTTTGATTCATATTGTTGGACAGTTGTCATGGGTTTAACATTTATTTCTACATTTACATTTATTTCTACTGCCCATTTTTCTTATTGTTAGCACTTTATGGATGTTAACACTTTGTCATGCCTGTTGTTCTAATGCTTTTCAAAGGCTAAATAAACTCAAGCTGATTTTTTTCATGAAAACACGGTAGCATTTAACACGTCAAATCAGGAATTTTCTGAGATCACACAACTGAAGACACAGTGAAGGAGGATCAACAGCTGTCTTTTCACCTAACATTTGCTAACTGGTATATAAATGTATTTTTTTTTCTGGGCTATAAGCACATATAAATATATTTTTATATGTTTATGCAAACTTAATTTTAAGCTCTTGGAGAACAAGAACTCTAGACTTGTATAAGGAAAGTTATTCTCTGATCTACAGTAGCCAAAGACAACCAGTGGTTTTCAGAACCCTCCCTCCAACACCTCCCCTCCTGCCACTCCTTTTTTAAAAAATTATTTTTTGGCCAGGCACAATGGCTCACACCTGTAATCCCAGCACTTTGGGAGGTCAAGGTGAGCAGATCATGAGGTCAAGAGATCGAGACCATCCTGGCCAACATGGTGAAACCCCATCTCTACTGAAAATACAAAAATTAGCTGGGTATGGTGGCTCGGACCTGTAGTCCCAACTACTTGCTGAGGCAGAGGAATCGCTTGAATCCGGGAGGTGGAGGTTGCAGTGAGCCGAGATGGCACCACTGCACTCCTGCACTCCAGCCTGGCGACAGGGCAAGACTGCTCAAAAAAAAAATTCTTTCTGTAAACATAGAGGAAAAAAAAATTATGTTTTGAGACAGGGCCTCTCTCTGTCCACCCTGTCTCAAAGTGGAGTACAGTGGTGCAGTCATGGCTCACTGCAGCCTCGATCTCCCCAGGCTCAAGAGATCTTTCCACCTCAGGAGTAGGGATAGCTATTCCTATTCCTCCTGAATAGCTGGGACTAATGACATGTGCTACCATGCCCAGCTAATTTTTTATTTTTTCCTTTTTTTGTGTGGAGAACAGGGTCTCGCTATATTGTCCAGGCAGATCTCGAACTCCTGGGCTTAAGCTAGCCTCCCACCTCTGCCTCCCTAAGAGCTAGAATTACAGGTGTGCCACAGTGCCCAGCTAATTTTTGTATTTTTAATAGAGATTGTGTTTCACCGTGTAGCCCAGGCTGGTCTAGAACTCAAGCAATCCGCCTGCCTCAGTCTCCCAAAATGCTGGGATTACAGGCATGAGCCACCATGCTGCCCAGGCTGTGGGCCCCCTCCTGCCACTCCTAATGACAAATATAATTATTTGATATAATTGACATTTTCTCAATATGATGCATAAATTTAAAAAACTAGAAAACCACTACTTTTATCTATCTGTAACATAAACTGCATGTGAAAATAGTGTGCTTTCCAAGTAAATGGGACTTTAAAGCCCCTTAGACACCTCTCCACAACTAGATTGATGCTCCTAAACTCCTCCTATGTAAGAATTCTATATCTCTGTTTCACGTCCCCTCTCTCACCCTTTGCTCTTTCACGACACCTGGCTTTATTTCTTTAGCAGGCTTATTTCTATCTCAAAGTATGTTGTTAATTTATTACTATCTCCTTCTAGAAAAAGAAGGAACCTGAGGGTAGGGACCTTCTGTTCTTTGTCCATTGCAGTATTCTGATTTGGATTAGGTGCTCACTCCCTTGTGAGTAATAAAAGAGCCCTAATTTAAATAATCGTTGGTTTATTTGCTTCCTAAATTGGCACATTTGCAGATAAGTTTGCCTATTTAAGATTTTGAGCTGGACATGGTAGTTCACATGTATAATCCCAACAGGTCAAGACAGGAGGATCACTTGAGGCCAGGAGTTCAAGACCAGCCTGAGTAACATAGTGAGACATCATCTCTACTAAAAATTTAAAAATTAGCTGGTTGTGGTGGCACATGCTTGTAGTCCCAGCTACTCAGGAAGCTGAAGTGAAAGGATCATTTGGGCCTGGAAGATGGAGGCTGCAGTGAGCCATGATTGTGCCACTGCACTCCAGCCTGAGCAGCAAAGCAAGAAGTATCTCAGAAAAAAAAAAAAATTGAACAGAGATTACCACTCTATTACTCTATTCAATGCAAGATTGTAGAGGTAATAACAAAATTTTTTTTTTTTTTTTTGAGACGGAGTTTCGCTCTTGTTACCCAGGCTGGAGTGCAATGGCGCGATCTTGGCTCACCGCAACCTCCGCCTCCTGGGTTCAAGCAATTCTCCTGCCTCAGCCTCCTGAGTAGCTGGGATTACAGGCATGTGCCACCATGCCCAGCTAATTTTTTTTGTATTTTTAGTAGAGACGGGGTTTCACCATGCTGACCAGGATGGTCTCGATCTCTCGACCTCATGATCCACCCGCCTCAGCCTCCCAAAGTGCTGGGATTACAGGCTCGAGCCACCGCGCCCGGCTTAATAACAAAAATTTAAATGGTACAAAATTCTCCCACCTATGCTTTCAATTCCCAGCCCAATTCTCCTTCCTGAAGGTAAACACTCTTAACAATGTTTTGTTTTGTCAACTCCTACTTTGCCAGCTGTCTGCTTCCCTAAACTGGGAGGTCTTTGAAGTAGTAAGCTGAGGCAGAAGGGCTTGGGTTTTCTTTTCTTTTTTTCTTTTTTTTGAGACGGAGTTTTGCTCTTGTTACCCAGGCTGGAGTGCAACGGCGCAATCTCGGCTCACCGCAACCTCCGCCTCCTGGGCTCAGGCAATTCTCCTGCCTCAGCCTCCTGAGTAGCTGGGATTACAGGCACGTGCCACCATGCCCAGCTAATTTTTTGTATTTTTCGTAGAGACAGGGTTTCACCTTGTTGACCAGGATGGTCTCGATCTCTTGACCTCGTGATCCACCCGCCTCAGCCTCCCAAAGTGCTGGGATTACAGGCATGAGCCACCGCGCCCGGCCGGCCTTGGGTTTTCAATGGAAAGGGAATAGTTCTTAGTCCACAGACCCAGGACTTTGAAGTCCTCACACAAAATCGAAGAGGTAAGTTCACAGCAAATGTGTAGAATGACTGGGGGAAAGAAAGATTTTTTTTTTAGACAAGGGTCTTGCCGGGCGCGGTGGCTCACGCCTGTAATCCCAGCACTTTGGGAGGCCGAGGCAGGTGGATCACAAGGTCAAGAAATCGAGACCATCCTGGTCAACAAGGTGAAACCCCGTCTCTAGTAAAAATACAAAAAATTAGCTGGTGGTGCGTGCCTATAATCCCAGCTACTCAGGAGGCTGAGGCAGGAGAATTGCCTGAACCCAGGAGGCAGAGGTTGCGGTGAGCCGAGATCACGCCATTGCGCTCCAGCCTGGGTAACAAGAGTGAAACTCCGTCTCAAAAAAAAAAAGACAAGGGTCTTACTCTTGCTCTATTGTAGGCTGGAGTGCAGTGGTGTGATCATGACTCACTGCAACCTCCCCTCCTGGGCTCAAGCGATTCTCCCACCTCAGCCTCTTGAGTAGCCAGGACTACAGGAGAGTACCATTACGCCTGGCAAATTTTTGTATTTTTTGTAGAGACCACATCTCACCATGTTGCTCAGGCTGGTCTTGAACTCCTGGACTCAAGCGATCCACGTACCTCAGCCTCCCAAAATGTTGGGATGATAGGCATGAGCCACTGCACCTGGTTGAAGGAGTTTTTTTTTTTGTTTGTTTGTTTTTTTTTTTTTTGAGACGGAGTTTCACTCTTGTTACCCAGGCTGGAGTGCAATGGCGCGATCTCGGCTCACCGCAACCTCCGCCTCCTGGGTTCAGGCAATTCTCCTGCCTCAGCCTCCTGAGTAGCTGGGATTACAGGCATGTGCCACCATGCCCAGCTAATTTTTTGTATTTTTA